AGTGCCCCAAATTACGACGGACAGACGGACGGACGGACGCCAAAGTGAAACTATAAGGCTTTCGGCCATGGGCCACGAAACCCTAAAAACGGGATTACACATGTGTAATCACAAAAATGAATTCAAATATTAAAAAAAAACAAAATTTTGTGCGAAAATTATGATTATAAAATAGAAATTATCAAATTATGTCTACTTTTTCGTTTAGTAAGAAAAATAAATTTCGTTAAAAATTAGAATTTACCAAATTTATCACTGCTTTGCTAACTTTGCATAAAATTATATAAGTGCCTTACTTGTGCCTTTAAAAAATTAATTAATTAAATAATAGAGTTGAAATTATCGATCACCCCAAGTCAGGTTGTTAACTCGGGGTGAAAAAATGAATTAGTTAAAGTTTTTTGAAATGTTACTTCAGTAATTTACGACAAATTCCTGTTACAAATAACAAAAAAACTAAAAAAATTTGTGAGCAAAAATTTTGAATGCTTTGCTAACTTTGCACAAAATTCATTTTTAAGCCTCCCAATAATAAATTGAATTTTTGAAAATTTATAACTAATTGCATAAATGCAATTATTTTCAAAAGTAATAAAATTTTTCGCAGAAATTCAATTATGTTCAAGAATTTTTTAATATTCTCGTCAAAATGTCAATTATTTTTAAAAAATTTAATAAGAAATCTATTATTTACAATATTTTTATAAATTTCTTCGCAATAATTTAATTATTTTTATAAATAATAAAATTTCTTTTAGGAATTCAATTATTTTCATAAATAAAACTCATGGCAGAGTTTAAATTATATTTAATACAATTTTAATCAAATTCATCGAAAAATGTAATTGTTCTTAAAAATTGTTCTTAAATTTTATGAAAAATCGTTAAAAGAAATCAATGATTTAAAAATGTTTTGATAAAATTCTTTATGAGACTTCAATTTTAAGAAATTTTAAATATTAAATAAATTATTTATTTTTGCATTTAAATTATTGAATTATCTAATAAAAATTTATTTCAAAATGAATTTCAGTTAAAGTTTTACATAATAATTGATTATTAAAAGCATTAGGGTCAATTGGGGTAAATGTAAACGGAATATCTGTTTTTGACCAAAAACATTAGTTTTTTTTGTTAAAAGGTAAAACGGACGGATTTCTTTTGCATGAACTTGTTACTTTACTTCCCTAGAAAAATTTTACGAGGTACAAAAAAATATTGATGCACCTGAATCGCCTAAAACTGAATGTTTACATTTACCTCGAGATTTTGAAATTTTCCTAAAATTCGGGGTAAATGTAAACACCACTGTAGTTAAGCGAGGTTTAAGAAACAAGTTATTTCAAGTATACTACTGTTTTAAGGGATGGAAAAGCTGAAAAAAATTCTTCGTAGATGTATAGTAAATCAACCAGTTGACTGATAATGTATCATATAAAATAAACAATCAACCATTACAAAATTAGTAATGTAAAAACTTGAATAACTTGAACAAATTTTAATAAATTTTCATTCAACTTGGTAAAAAGAAGTTTTTTTTTATTTTTATCTAAAATCGAATTTTTAAATTTCAAAATGGTGGATCCAATATGGCGGTCAAACATAAAATATTGTTAAAAATTGATCAAATTTGCTTGAATTTGGCTACTCGGGGGTTTTTGAGGTCGCTGAATACGAATTTGAAGTCAAATTTCAAATTTTCAAAATGGCGGATGAACCTAAAAATATTTTTAAAAATTGATCAAATTTTCAAAAAAAATTTTTTTTTTTCAAATTTTTTTTTTAAAGAGGACCTAATTTCCTTTTCTATGTAATTTTACATTGACAAATTAATGAAATTGTGAAATAGAAGCAAATTTATTCAATTATTTTCTTTTAAAATGTAGTTCAAGTTCTGTTTACATTTACCCCGAGTTTTCGAATTCTCGGGGTAAATGTAAACACTTAATTATTTATTAACTATATTGACGAAAATCAAAAGTCAAAGTCAATTTTTGTTACGGCATTAATAAGGAATAATTACATATTTTTGGTTGATTTTTAAATTTATTTTTATGCAAATGCGAGACAAAATACTGAAACAGTAAAACTTTGATTTTCAATCTTTTTGCATTAAAAAATAACTTACACTATGGCATTGCCAATTGTCAAAATAAAATATTTGAAATACTCAGAACATCTTGTAGGTGAGCTGAGGTAAAAATATTGACGTCGTACTTATTTTTAAATTTCTAAATTTAGCTGAAACATCTACTGTTTACATTTACCCCTTGTTTACATTTACCCCAAATGACCCTATAGCATGAATTTTAAGAAATAATTAAATTTGAAAATGGTTTCAAATCAAATTCTTTAAAAATTTGTATTTTTCATACTTATAACTAACAATTCTGTAGAATTAATTATATTAAAAAAGTTTAATTGAATTTTATCCTGAAATTATTTTAAGTGTTTATTTTTTAATTCGTATTTAATTGAAGAATTTCTGAATAATTTAAATTTCGTAAAATTGATTTGTAAACAAATGGATTTTAAAATTCTCAAAGAATTTTTTTTCAAAAATTATTTAAAATAATTTATTCCTGTGAGAAAATAATAATGATTAAAATTTATTTAGAAAAGAAGTTATTGATGTTTTTAAATAATTTCAGAAATTGGTAAATAAATGTAATAGAACATTTTTTGAGTGTTTAATCATTTTTAGAGTGTATCAGAATTTTCTTTAGGGTTAGGGAAGAAGTCAAAATTTTGTCAAGTAATTAAGTTTTTCATATAAAAAAAAGAAAATATTTTGCAGGATTTATTTTTTAGAAACAAAGGAAATAATGAATAATGTAATAACATTAATAATTTTTTTAAATTAATAAAAATATTTTTGAATTATTTGAGAAATAAAAATAATATTATTAAACTAAAAAATTAGTGAAAAAATAATGACGTATAATATTATCTATCAGAATATATAAAAAAAACAAAAGCATGCACAATAGTCTAACTTCAAGTGTGGACAGACTGGACAGACCAGGACAGACTGGACAGAATGGACAGAATACGACGATTATTATAAAAAATTATTTTTTAAAAAAATGTAATTTAATATACCTAATAAATAAAAATATTTTTAAAAAAAATAATTGAATTTTAAGAAATTATAATGAAAAAATTTTAAGAATAATTTTTTACAGTGTTGGAAAAAACGATCTCTAAAAAGACATGTCAATTAAAAATTTCTCAATTTGACGCTTTATATAACATTTTTTTAAAAACATCAAAAAAAGAACAATTTTTATTTTACAAATTTAGTAAAGCAAAATTTAAATGTTACTTTACAATATGAAACCTAATATTATATGTTATAACCTCAAATAAATTCTTCTATGTAATTTGAAAAAATCAATTTTTATGTTATAAAACGAGTGAGTAGGGTAGGGTGGGGCATTAATATTCTTGTTTGAATTTTTGAGTCTAAAAAATGTATTTAAAAAAAATATAAAAATTAATTTGTTAATTGGAGAAGTTTTTCTGGTTTTTCTCTTCCAATTTCTTACCGCATTCTAACCTAAAAACAAGCACACAAAAAAAACACTGTTTCGTAGTTTTAGCTGTTATCAGTGGGCGAATAGTTTCGCCCCAACCGCACATTTTTTGAAAAAACACTTGTAAAATTTTTGAACAATAGAATATCAAAAATCTATTATGATATTTGTGTTTAGCACTAAACTTGACTTTAGAAATAATTTTTCCGACCGTTTATCACTATTTACAATGGCAGACTAAATGAGTGAAAACAAGTAAGCGAGTATATCAAAATCACATTTGAGTACCTAACTCCTATGATAGATGGCGCCAGAAGCTCAAATGTGGCGTACAATGTTCATTTCACATGACAAGTATACAGTGTAAAAGGGACTTCAATCGGATGAATAGTTTTCTCTCCAGGACTAAAGAATAGTTTCGTCCCGCGAATAGTAATGCCCCACTCTACCCTACTCTCTAAATCTGAATATGTGAAAATTCACATATTTGTACGTTATAAGTCGTCTTCTCGATCAATAAGTGCATATACACTTATAATAAGTGAAATTTCACTCAGAATAAGTGAAAAATTCACTTATTTATAAGTGTATATGCACTTATTGATCGAGAGGACGACTTATAACGTACAATAAGTGAAATTTCACATATTCAGATTTAGAGAGTATATATAATTTTTTCCATTTTTTGTTTCAAACTTAACTGCAATTTGAATTAACTTCGATTAATATTATAATTTATTGTTTTTCTTTGCGAAAAAAACCCATGTATATTCTTTTTTTTCAGTATGTATTAAAATATAATAAATTCTGAAGAGGGAACTGGATCCATTTCCGATACGTCAAATTGAGAAATTTTTAATTGACATGTCCTTTTGGAGATCGTTTTTTCCAACATTCTAAATATTTAATAAAGAAGGACATTATCAATAAGATCAAGATCAACCCATAGATCTATATTATTATAAATTTTTTACAAATATTTTAATACAACTTTTTAAAGCTAATTTTTTATTAACTTTCACTTGTAAAATTTCTATTAAAATTTTTGAAAATTAAATTATTTAAAAAATTTGCAATTAAAATTAATCAAAATGCGATTTTTTGAAAATAAGTAGAAAAGTCGCCCTTTTTCGAAAGTTGAAAAAAGTTCAAAAGTTCATACTATCCGAGACGTTTAGTAATAGTAAATTAATTACTTAAAAAATTGCATGTGTGAAAAGATCACAACGATCGTGATCAACGATAGAAAGAAACAAACATTTTTTCTTTACAAATATTTCTTCTTTTAGTTTTTAATCAAGAAATATTGTAAAAAATTTTCTTAGATAAAAATTAAAATGGAAAAATATTGCTTCTTCTAAATCGTTGATTATAAACATTGCAAGCGTCATCAATGCAAAAAATTAAAATAAAAAACGAGAAAATTGGTTAATATTTGAAAGTAGAAAGTATCGAGTAACTCACCAATGTAGCCTTTGCAATGTGAATCTTCCATCGCGTCATAGTACCTCAATTGATGTTTTATAGAATCGAGTACGAACCACCGTTGCTTCCAACCTTTGAGAAGTGCACCACGTTTATACAAATATCCCTCGTGAGTTCTGTTTTCAGCAACATTACTTGAAAATTGATCATAGTATTGCTGCGATGTCGTCTGCATTGTAGTCACACCTGCAAAAAAAAATTTAAAACAATAAAATAAAATGTGATAAGAATATAAAAATCAGGAAAAATAAAAAATTTTTGTATAATTTCCAATTGTTTATTTTCTAATTAAAAATTAAAAAAAATTTTTTTTGAACTGCGATCATTCTGAATGGGTGCGTAATAAGAAAAAAAATCGTTGGAAAAAGAAAAAGTAAAATGAAAATTCTTACTTGAATTTACGCTTCCATTGTCACCGCCACTTCGAGTGAGAGTGTGCGATTGTAAATTGTCAGCTACGGCTTTGTATTTTGTACAATTTTTCGGCACTGCATCGGCACATTTGTCGTGACAAACGTGACCGCAATCAACGCACCTCAATCCCGCTTTTACTGGTCCCCATAAAACTCCAGAGCACGCATCACAATGAGTTGGTGTCGCAGAATCCAACCTCTCGAATCTATTCATTTAAAAAAAATTGTCAGTTTCGAACGCAATTGTTAATTAAATTTAAATTTACTCCAATTATTCAATTAATTATCAGTAGAAATTGTAATTTTAAAACAATAATTCCATCACTATTTTTAAATTACTTTTTTTTAAACTATCACTTTTATCATTATCACTATCAAATAAAAGAAATAAATAACAATAGGTAATTTTAAATTATTACCTGTGTGGATGAGCATAGACAGAACTCTCATTTCCAGTTGCAGTTCCACCAGCGAGTTTCCCTCTTAACAGTAATTCCAATGTGGACCGTTTGTGAATTAGCCGACCGTGATGTCTGACCAGAGCCGTACTAAAAGACGCGTGTCTCTGCAAAAATATAAATTTATAGATAATTTCCAATCTTATAAACTTTAAAAATGTGAATTTTTTCTCTACACGAAAAAACTGCACGCGCAAAAAAGACAATCATATCAAAAAATGTGCAGTTTCTAAAAAAATAACATTAGAAAAAAAGGAAAAATTTGTGCTCATCGTGAATCCAGAATAAAAAATCATTTGCTACAATATATAATTGTTTTCGTTCATTTTTAAATGTGCAAAAATCGACACTTGTGCCGAAAGATTGATTTTTTTTTTGTTTTTGAAAAAGCGCACCTTATCGTCAACCTGATGATTATCCAAGCAGAAACTTTTTGACGTAACTTTTCTGCACAATGTTCTCTGGGATTATATCAAACAAAATGATAAAAGTTGGCATCAAGATCGCAAATTTTTTTCCTAGCAATTTGTTTTATTTTGAAATAAAGAATTAATTCAAATTTTTACTTTCAAAACTTCAAAACTTACTTTAAATTTGTTTACATTACATTTCTTAGTTTATCTTTATTTTATATCAAATTTCTTTCTAGTTTATTTTATTCATTTAGACCAAGAAATAGAAGTTTCATCGATTTTCAAAATTTTAATGACAAGTTTCTATTGAACATTGATAAATTAATTTGGTATTTTTTTAATATTTAAGGGCCAATTTAAAAAAATGGAATTTCGTCAAAATTTTGGAATTTTTTTTTTTTTTTATTAAAATAAAATTTTTTAAATAATAAATTCTTACCGCGAGGGAATCAGTATTTGGCAACTCGAGTTTATCCCAAAGGACCTTCCATTTCTGGGGCAAGTGTCCTAGTTCCGTTTCTAATTTGTGAATTTCTTCTAATAAGTGAGTAAATTGATCAGGTACCATTGAACTGACGCTGTTGTATCTGAAAAATGTCAAAAATTCTTCCTTAATTTCGTAATAAATCGTAATCGAATTTTTAATTCAACTGCCATGTAACTAAAGTTGCTTGCTTAGTTTTAAAATTTTTACTTTGAAATTTGATTGCCATTACAATTTTTTTTACATTCAAATTCAATTTTTAGGGTACCGTACACCATAGGTGTACTGACGGAACCCTTATGAAATCACTCGTGTGTCCGTCCCAGCTACGCAAAATGGGCTGTCCCCCCCCCTTAACTTTTACAAATCTCAACCTAGTGAGCTGAAATTCGGTAAGGATTTTCAGTTTTAAGTGCAGATTACAGGAAAAATATAGCGAACCCGATTGACGGACATATTTGCGAACTAGGAGGGAAAGAAATTCAATTTTTTCGAAAAAATTGAAAAAATTACCCTGTCCCCCCCCTTAACTTTTACAAATCTCAACATTATGAGCTGAAATTCGGTAAGGATTTTCAGTTTTAAGTGCAGATTACAGGAAAAATATAGCGAACCCGATTGACGGACATATTTGCGAACTAGGAGGGAAAGAAATTCAATTTTTTTGAAAAAATTACAAAAAATGACCCTGTTCCTGCGGTTAACTTTTACAAATCTCAACCTAGTGAGCTGAAATTCGGTAGAGATCTTCATTTTTAAGTGAAGATTGAGGTAAAAATATAGCGAACTCGATTGACGGACATATTTGCGAACTAGGAGGGAATTGGTTACCTCCACGTGGTGCATCTTGGAAACAATATAATTGAAAAAAGTAATGATTTTTAAAAATAAAATATTAAAAAAATTTTAAATTAAAATAAATTTCAATGAAATTGGCAAAATACCAATAAATAAAAAATTTATTATAATTAATAATATAAGTATCTTTTGTTAGTTTATATCCAATATATTATTTTAAATATTATCTTTAATCAGGTAAAATATATATTTTTTGTTATTTGTAAATAAAACATAAGAATTCAATGTGGATTATAGTTATAGTTTTTTTTAATCTATATGTAATAAAAATACATATGTGTACCGAATTTCAGCTCAATATGTTTATATATGTTAATATTAATGTGGATTATAGTTATAGTTTTTTTTTAATCTACATGTAATAAAAATACATAATTATGTGTACCGAATTTCAGCTCAATAGGTTTATATATGTTAATATTAATCAATTATATTTCTTATATATATTTTTTTTTATAAAAAATGAGTTTTATTTTGGTGTTCGGAACCCTCGATCTTGATGCGAGTGCAACTCGCACTTGCCCGATTTTTTCTTAAATTCAATGTAATTTTTACATTTACAAAACATTTTTTTTTAATTCCAGGATTAGTCACTCAATTATTTTTTTTAAGTTTATAACAACAAAATAATTTTTAACACAAATAATAATATAATAAAAATTAATTTTAAATAATTTTAAAAGATTCAGTTATATGTCTTTCAAAAAAAATTTTATTTACTTTAAATCTTTCGTCAAATAACGTCTTTTTAACATTAAAATTTTTTTCTTTAGCTCAGATAAAAATTGCATTTTGCACCCATTTTTAATCTTTGAAAAATTGTTTACAATCGTAATCATTTTAATTTTTCGTTTAACAATGAGTTAATAGTAATTAGGATTCATTAATAATAATAAAATAAACAAAACACAAAATTCGTAATGTTTAGTTTTTTTGAAAAAATATTTCTAACAATATAAAAATAATTACTAGTATAGAAAACATTTTAATGAGTAAAATAAACAATTTTTTAAATAAAATTAGACCATAATTGCGATTTTCCTCTGAGCGGAAAGAAAAAAAAATAATAAAAATCATAATTTGACAAAAGATTTTGACCGAAACATTTTTTCTAAATAACTTATAATAAGAACTTTCAAAATTATTTGAAATTATTGTCAGGTCTCGAATCGACTTCAAGAAGCAAAAATAGTTGTTTTAAACAATTCAAAAGTACAAAAAATTAAAAAAAAATGTGTAATTACGAATTTTTTAAATTAATTTGTAATTACAAAAATTTTTCAATTCAAATTTTTTGTAAATTTCAGTTATCTTCAAACAATTTCTTCATATTTCTTTATATTCTTCGACTAAAACAGGATTACCTATTAATTTCAAAAAATTTTGAAAAAATTCATTTAAATATAATTTAAAAAAAAATTTATACCTACAATTTTCAATTGTTTTTCAAAATTTCTAAATGAAATTATTCAAAACTGGAATAATTTTATTAAATGAATATTTAAATAGGGGAGAGTGGGGCAAACCGGCCATACCTACGGTTTTTTGACTCTTGTGCACTGAGAAAACTGGAGTATTGGACTAAACATCTGGAGGGACAAATCGTTGATATTTGAGAGTTAGCTATTGGATAACAATCTAAATGTTCAAATACACCATTGACAGATATTCGTGCCATTTCTCTTGGAGGGAAAATCCCTTCCTTATCCGGCGCGAAATGAATAAATATGGCAACCTAACCCCTAAATTAAATACATAAAATGTCAGAAAAATAATTTCGCGCGCATCAGATCATACACATTTTCTGCGCAACTTTTAACCCTCAGATATAATGGGAGAGAATATACAAGTAGATTTCCATTATCAATTCAAAATTTATTTTAGAAGGACTATTTAACTCTCTTCATAAGCAAAGGAAACATACACTTTTTGAACCTCTGAATTTGACTCTCCAGTTTTCTCAGTGTGACTAAACGAATCAACCGATTTCATTTTTCGATGGCTTGTTTGAAAGATCATTTAATTGCGCAACTTTTTCCCATAGGCACATATACTTTATCTTTTATTGTTTAGTTGCTGTGTTAACTTTAAAAAATTTTGCAAACTGGCCGGTTTGCCTCACCCCCTGGGGTAAACCGGCCAGTTGGGTTTTTTATCTATAATATTGCATTTGTATAATCTACAATAATAAAAAACATAAAGAATCATGTAAACAATGGTTGTAGTAATGAAAATAATAATACGGGATTGAATTTTAATTAAATAAATATTTTTTTTAATAAAAATATAAAAATGTTTGTCATTATCAGAGAAACAATATTAAAGGGTCCAATTCTCATTGGAAGACAATTATTTTTCATTGTAAGTAAATATTTTAATGAAAGAAACATTTTATTTAAAAATAATTTTTATGGAACTTTAATTCAATGGAACTATCCTATGGCCGGTTTGCCCCATCGAAAACTGGCCGCTTTGCCCCACAGGCTCATTTTGAGAATAAATATTTTTTTAAAAGAAACGCTTTGCAAATTCATCAAAGTTTTTGGTGGTAAATATTCCTGAGGTGTGAACCTTCAAAACCCAAGACCTAATATTTGGGAATTTTACACGATTTCCTCAAAAACTCCTTAAGAAAAAATTCGTAAAAGTGTAGAAAAAAACTAAAAAAAAAAACTTTTGCTCCCAGTGTTGGACAAACAAAAGTAAAAATTTTCAAATTGAAATAATAAGGTATACTACACATGGTTGTTTCAAATTTCTAAATAGCACTTTTGCCAATTTAGCCATTTCGGAGATATTGACCCCTGGCCGGTTTGCCCCACTCTCCCCTACCTACTTATTGTTATTTATTGTTCAGTAAAAATAAATATTCTTTTTAAATTTCAATTTCAAAACTTCTGAAATTTAATTATTTATTAAAATTACAACTAAAATTCTTTCAAAATGGAATTATTCTCTGGAATTTCTAACTAAGGCAATTCAAAAGTTTAATAATTTTTTAAAATAAAATAAGTATTTAAATTCTACATATTAGATTTGTCACGAAATTCATAAAATGATTTTTTTAAAAAATCGAACTCAAAAATTAATTTTTTTGAATATTTAAAATTAAATTTTTTAATTGTGTTCTAATGAATGACAATTTTATTTTTTAGGACAAAGTTCTGTTTTAGGTGCTTGAAGATCTTAAAAAAAAAGTAAGACACTTTAGAAAAAATTCTTTTACAATAGTTCTGCTAGACAATTTTCTGGGGCGTGCAGCGCTACCCAAAGAGCGTGCACTTTAAATACAGCTCGCCTCGACTCAGGGGAGCGCTGCACGCCCATGCACGCCCCAGAAAAGTGTCTAGCAGAACACAGGGTTGAGTCACAATACGAAAAACAAAATAAGTTGTATTTTAAACCTAGAAAATGGTATTTTGTTATCATTTGGATGGTTATATTTGGAAAAAAGTAAAAAATTGTATTTTTTAAAAATAAGTCGAGAAAAGTCATCTTTTTTTGAAAATTGCATAAAATAGTCAAAAATATCATTTTATGCTTTCAAAAAGAATCAAAATATTTTTAACAAATATAATTGAATAGTTAAAAAAATTAGTATTTTCTACCTTAATAAACTCTTAGAATCTCTTTTACGGTCATCATCTTTTTTAATTAAATTAAGTTCTAGAAAAATAAACAAGAATGAAAAAGAAACTGAAAAGAAAACTCACCCTTGAGTTACAACTTTTCGATTGCTCTTGACAATCCCATCGGCAGCCTCAGCCTCCTCTTCTTGCTGCGAATCTTGCTGAAGAATCTCCAAATCATAAGCGGGTCCATGCGCCAATTCCTCTTCAAGATAATAATTCCAAATATCCAAATTAGGCAAATGAGAAACAGGTCTCAAAACCGGATGCTCCGAATTTGGCGTATAGAGAAAATTATAAAACAAAGGCGATCTCGCGTGTTGCTTCTCAATATAATCAAAAATACTCTGACCCAAATTGCAACCCATATTTGTACCCGCCAAACGACCGCCTGGATAAACAGTCTCATCGTCACTGCCCGTATCAACACCCTTATGATGACTAGTCAACGAACCCCTCTTGTCTTCGACCGCCGTAATGCCACACTCAACCCTGTCGAATTCACAATCCAACAAAAATGTCCTGAACCGACAAGACACCGAATGATACGCCAAGAACTTCAAATAATACTCATTAAATTCAAACGCCAATGGAAATTGCTTCTGTATTTGATGGACAATATCCAAAAATTGAAGGAAAGTTGGCGTGAAATTTGTCGTCTGTGAATTTGTCGCTAGATTACTCCGATGACCGAAACGATGACCAAAGCCAAGCCATTCTTTCTCAATCAGTGTGCGAAATCCGTCGAGCGTTCGATAATGTGGGTCCAAGCAAACCTGAGCAATTGAGCAAACTGTCGCCGTCGTGTCCCAGCCGTCCTCCAGGCATACAGCAACCGACGAACCCTGAACGTCCATCAAATCAATAACAGCCCCGGCCAATTGCATCAAACTTTGCAGTTGATGCAACCACTCGGAACTTTCGATTAATTTATAAAAACTCTGATCCGGTTCGATACTTGGTGAACTCGGCACGCACGCCTTCATTAACTTCTTAAAAGCAGCTTTCGTGTGTCGAACGTCGTAGAATTCGACCGGTATGAAATCGGTTTTAGGCGCTGCCGTCTCGGGTTTCGGGCCCTTCATGTAGGACTTCTCCCCGAGGACGTAGAGGGCAGCGCGTTGAAAGGTGTGCACACACTCGGTACCACTATCAGAATCGGCAGAGTGACGAATCGTTCCCCGTTGATTCACCGATGACAACGAGGCCTGCGAACTGTGCCTCTTGTCCTTCAGCGATCCCCATCGTCCAAAATTCTTCGGTCCTTTCCCTCCGCTCGAGCCCAGGTTCCCCACTGCCTTGTTGAAGGGATTTCGTCTCGACTGTTCGGGTGTCGCATTCCGGTCCTCGGCGGCAAGCAGCAAGGAGTCGATACTCAAGGAGCTGTCCGACATTCCCCAGGCGGAGCCCTGTCGGAGGATCGAGAGTGGAGTGGCGGCGACCAGGGCCATTATGTACTTCTCCTGCTCCAAGGAAGACGTGCTTTCCGACGAGGTAGTTTTCAAGTTGCCGGCCGACGTCGGGTGGGCCTTCAGCATGCCCATCACGCCCTTGCCGTGGTAGCCGGCGCCGCGGATGAGAAGGGCCTTTGTTCGCGGGTGGCGCCAGGTGACTGCGGGGATTCTGTTGTGTCGGTAGAGGCGGCAGAAGCGGCGAATACTGTCGTCGGTCACGGCGGTCGGAACCAGCAGAAGGGCCGGGTAGCTTCTGCATAACATGTAGGCGCAATTCGCCGACGTCAGGCGGAAAGGTTCGTTGCGTCGGTTGTTCTGCGGTCGGGACGAGCAGAGACCCAGGCGGTACCAGTCGCGAACGTAGCTGCGTTCCGAGAGTCTCTCGAGTGTTTTGGCGTCGGTCGGCTGCGTGGGCACGATGCCGGCGATTTCGAATTCGTCCACACTGAGATCGTCGTCGTGACTCATGTCGTTGTTCTCTGTCATTGGAAGACTCATGCGACCCGGCGATGTCATGTACTTGTTGCTGTTCGTGAGATTCATGTTCGGGAGTACGTACTTCTGGCGTTTGGACGATTGCTTGGGTTTGAAACCGGCCTTCCTGGCAGTCTTCAATAGGGTCTTCTTGGCGAAGCCCTTGAGGGTGGCGTTCTTCTCCTTGCCCTTGTGGTGCGTCGTCGGGGTGACTAGGACCTGCCCGTTGAAGGCGAAATGATGAAAGATGTGAGGGGGGTTTCGGGCCTTCTGGACCAGTTTCCGCAGTGTCTCAATATTCTCCGGAGTTACCTCCTCGTCGAAGGCTAACTTGATCAACTGGAAGGTGCACGATCGTAATTGCAGACCTTCCTGGATGTACTGGTCCAAGTGCGCCAGGTGTTGGACCGAGACGCGCTTCTCCTTCGTGAGGGAGGTGACGGGGAAGGCGCGGACCACCAACTGCTCGCAGGCGAAGGGGTCGCAGGGAATGCCCTTGAAGACGATTCTGTAGTTGGTGAGGAAAATGGCCCCCTCGGCCGGCAATAGGGGTGGTGTTTTTGGAAGACCTGCCGAACCTTCTTCGCGACCGTCGGGCAGTAAGTAGACACGTAGACCGTCCATGACGACCTCCTCCCCTGGAAGCATGTTTGGTGTCAATATCTTTGGCTTCTGTATCGGTGGGAGGCGTTTGCTCTCCCTATGAACTGCCTCGAGAGTCTCGATATGCATGTGCACCACTCCGGGCACCATCTGGTGGAGGCACCTCACGTGCTCGGTGCTCACGCCGCCCTCGGTGCAGACTCGGTCGACGAAACGCGACACCATTCTTATTACCGAAGCCCCAGTCTCACCGGGATCGGCCTCCTCGAAACCCGACTCGGCGTCGCCACTGTCACTCGCGACACTGTTGGTGATGCTGTTGCTCGCCCTCTCGTCATCATAAACATGATCCTGACGATGCGTTTTCGTACTAATATCAAGTGGCACAAGTAAGTAGACCATTCGATTAGCGTAGTGAATCGCTTGACTGTACATTGTACTCTCCTCACTTGCAATGAGCTCCTGCTGCTTGTCTCCATTAATCGTTGACCAAATTCTCATCTGCTCGGCGGCAATTTCCAGAGCTGACGGCTCTTGCACTCGGTATGACACTTGACCACGCTCCCGATAGGCAAAGTCCTTACTCTCTCGTGGACTAATAGGACTCAGTATACTGTCATTGATTTGTCGCGGCGGTGTTGTATTTTCCCCCGGTAAATACAACCTCTTAATGTCCTTCTGAACGTCGAGGTAGAAAGCGTCTTCCCAAAATTGCAAACTCTGCCACACGGCGTGCTCCTGAATGCAGGTGTAAGCAAACTGAATCACGCCCGTACAAAGCTTCCGACAGAAGGCAGTCGCGAGGGGCAAGAGAGCAGCCGCCACACCGTGCTCGTCCATCGATGAATCGTCTTGCAATGCACAGTTCATCAGCCTCACTACCAAATCGAATTGCTGATGTTCCAACATTGCCTTATTGCCCACCACATGTTGAGAGAGTTCCATACAAAGCGCCAGTCTTGCCGCTTTACTCTTCAAAGCGCGCAACACAGCGGGAAATGTTTTCCTAGCGTCGGATATTTTATTCTCGAATATACAATTGATGCAATTGCGAAGGACCTCGAGACGTCGGGCTGAATTACTAACTAAATGTCTATTATCGTGTGTATTCGATATGTGTGGTCCCATTGGAACAATACGCGGCTGAATTGGCCTCAACGACGACAATCTCACTTTAAGATTACTCTTCGTTAAACCCTCGTCAATAATTGCTTGCACAGTGTCAGAATTTATTCTCGGCAACATTGGCTGATGAATTCTTGCGAATGCCCCCTCGGGTGGTTTGAGAATTTTTTGTACATAAGGCTGGGGATTTGGATTTTCATTAGTATAAAGTTGTTGCGCCAATTCTTGAATGTGTGTTAAAATTAATCGTTGATCTTGCGACTCTTGCTTTAAATGATCACTAAAATTACTGTGCAATTCATCCCAAACGTCACACGCCCTCCAAGGTGGTCCACGTTCAGCGATAAATGAAGTGAAAAACATGCAGTCCAATATTCTTGTTGTAAAATCACAGTCGGTTAGGCCACGTTCGCCGAGGAATGCAGCCTTGTGAAAGGTGATGACCGGTTTCGAATGGATTCTTATTAATGTTAGACAACTGCGATAGCCTTGCAATAGTTGAGCAAAAGTTCGCATAAATACAGCGCGTAATTCTTTATCGAGCATTGGCGGATGTGGTGCTCTCGTTGCAAGAGGAGGAAAAGCGTAATCCGCACAGGCCAATTCTGGTTGTAATACCATTGATAATGCGTCTTGTGTTTGTGATAAAAGTGGTTCGGGAAGAAGTGCCAGTGATACGCCATCGGGTACCATTATCGAACCGCCATCAAGATCCGCGACAATCACGTCCATCTGTAATTTAAATAAATTCATTATAAATTTACATTTATTACAAGAAGCAAATATTAAATTCATTTTTGTTAATTAATTTATTGCACAAATCGCAGTACCGTTTTTCCTCACAATGAATGAAAAGGTGAATTATTTTCCGAAAATAAATTACAAAATGGCGAGAAAAAATGGTAAGGGAAGTGTTCCGGTTGTGGGTACCCTTTTGTTTTTGCCTCATAACATTTGTCCATGTGCATATTATACAAATATATGTGTACGAATTTAAAGCTAGAGGTCTAAGGTGACTGTCAGTGAAGGAATTAAATTGATTCCTTTAAATAAAAAAGTTTTATTAGAAATTTAGTGAAATAGAAATTTTTTGACAAAAAAATTTTTGTGCCCGGTTGTGGGCACCCTTGAAAAATCCGCTAAAAATGGAAAAATATTAATTAAAGGAAACCAACACAAATAAAGAAGAAATGAAAGTTTCTTTATTTTAAGAGAATTTGCCGGGATAAAGAACAAAAATGATGACACGTTTTCACACTATGCTCATCGCTAACATAAGCATAATGCTTGCATGTGAAGTAGCTAGTACGCATACCATAACGCACTTCTAATGCACTGAACGACTATATTCATCGCATTTAATGGAGTTTGCGGCTGTCACTTTCCTTGGCAGAAAGTTTAGATAGATGAGACAGTAGTCCTCATCATTGTCAGATGGTAAAGCCTCCTTAACATAAAGGTGCCCACAACCGGGAATGACAGTCATTTTTTAAAAAGACCAACACATTTTGTGATGCAGGATTTTGGTTAAACACGAAGGTAAATCACAAAATATAATGACAACACTGCAAAAAAAAAAATTAAACCCTTCTTTTCTGAACGAATCTACACCCATATGTTGCTCTTCGAAAACAATACAAAATGACTTTTTTATTAATTTAATGCAAATTTTCTTTATTATGCTCACAGCTATTACACAAATGCATATATTTGTTTTGTTATCAATACGAAAAGTCCGTATTGTCAACGAACACGACTTGCAATACTTAGATCAGTAAAGTCTGCTTGCCGTCGAAGTTTACGTAGGGGTGCCCACAACCGGCGCACTTCCCCTACATAAGAAAATTAACGTCTAAAGTAACTAACTTGTATCTATCTAATTGCAATTTCTTATCAATAATTAAAAGTCTACATCAAGAACCAGTTTCAATTTTTTAAGCTAAAATCCAGTGATTTAGTATTTTTTAAAAAATGAATAAAAAATCATCAATTTTCACACAGTCCAATTTTTTTGTATCATCTTTTAAAACACAATTTTTGAAAGATTCTCGCAATCCTTGTACAAATACTTCTCTAACAAAAAATTCAAGTTCAAAATCCTTTTTTTATTTAGAGGAGGAGAATTTTGAGTTCAAAAATTATAACCGGTTCCTTCATTGGGACCCTCAAATTATTGGTAAGAACTTTTAATTGTAATCCAAGCTGAAATAGTTAAAAATTTAGGTATGTACTTTGACATTTGAAATGATTAATCTTTTAATAAATAGAAATATCGATCATTTTAAATTTCGATGAATAAAATTTGAGTTTAATTGAAATTTAAATGAGTTAAAATTTAGGTAATTTAAATTTTGTATAAATTAAATTTAAATTCAATTAAAATTTGTTTTAACCAATCAATCGTTCTTTGCTTTTATGCTTTTTACATTGTAAATTCAACAATTTTCGAAATGAATTACATCCGAACATTAATCGAATTTTGAAAAAAGAAGAAAAAAGGCAACAAATTATCAAAGTATGTGAAATAAGTGACAAAAAATTTAAAAAGATGACAAACTATGATCCGTGTAATTATTATTAATTCTAATAAATTTATATGAAACATGAAAAGTCTCTCCAAAGTTTTAAACGTTCAACTGAACTTTTTCATTTCTTTAAATTCAAATTTTATGATACTAAGAAATATTGTGTCATATATTAAGAAATAAATTATTTTCTAAAGATTTAATTTATCTTTTCTTATGTATAACTGAAGTCAATAATTTAATAGTATATTAAGCAACAAGGTACGTAAAGGCAGCCATTTATTTACGGTGATTTTTGTGACTCGAGTGTAGGTTGTAACGAGACCGTAACGAGTGACACAAAAATCATTGTAAATAAATTGGCAGCCTTTAAGTCCCGTGTTACTTACGATATTTTTTATTCCAAAGGCACAAAAGTGGCGATTTCAGATAGCAGACGACAGGGAGTAAAAGTTATTCACTTGTTCGACGTGTATGAAAATGGCGGCCTTTTTTCCCATGGGCAGAAATAACGCATGGGACCAGCTGTTTTTTTGCCCATGGGAAAAAAGGTCGCCATTTTCATACATATGGCTCTTAGTTCCTGCCGGCTGCTATCTAAAAGCGCCTATTTTGTGCCTGAGGTATGAAAAAAATATTAACACAATGTCGATAAGAGATTTCATTCACTAAAATATTTAAAACTTATTTGCTTTTGAAAATCCAGAAACTATAATTTTATATAATACAAAACTTTGACAGTTAAATAATTTTCTCAAAGAAATTAAGTTTTGAACATTTAAACGAACGAAATATTTTATGTTAACAATATTTTTATAAATTATTATTTATTGCAATGAAAATTGAAAAATTCAATTTTACATTCAGAACTTAAAAATAAATTTTTTTGGTAATTACGCAAAACAGGCTTCGAAGTCTAGTAGCAGGTCAAAAAAAGTGTGAAAAAGTAGCATTTTGGAAGAAAAAAGTGTCCTCTAAATTGAAAAAAGTAGCAAAAAGTAGCATATTAAAAATGAAGTAAAATTAGTTTTTTAAGTAAGAAAATTAAGTAAATTTGTTGTCCAACAAATTGAAAGAAAAAAATACTAAAAATATAAATTCACAAATTTTTTTTTAAATTTTGATTTATAAACATAAAACATGAAAATATAATAGCTTCTTTGTCGATATTTTACATTAGAAAGTTTTATTTACATAACGAAATGTAATTGTTAATAATACTTAAATGAGATCTTTCATAAGAATTTGTTTTTTAATAAACAGGCTCATAATTTTGAGAAGTTAAATTGATACCTTCTTTCTCCTTATTATTTTTTAAAAAACTATCAATAACTTTTTATCAGCCATCTAATTTTTAAAAATGAAACGTAAACATTTTTTAGTAATTTACTAATAACAACTATCAAAATGAAAAAAATGGATTGTTTTAGTCATATAAATTTTTTAAATTTTAGAATCCACATAGCCATAATTCTGTACAATAATAAATTATAAGCAATTTAATTCCAATAAAAAAAATTATAATTTTTTTTCTAGATAGATCTTAAATCTTTATAAATGATTTTTTTTATTATTGAACAACCGACTTATAAAACACTGTATTATTGAAAATACAATTAATATTTTTAAATTTGACATAAAGTTTGTAAACATAATATAATAAATAATCACGTTAAATAAATATTATTTTGGATTTTTAATCAAACAATTTATATAACCAAAAGAATTAAGTTTTCATTCTTAATTGATTTTTTCTATACTTGATGAAACTTTTATAAAGTCAAAAAAGGTATTACTATTAAATTATATAGTGAAAAATGAAAAATTTAGTTTTTAATTTTTTTAAGAAGCTTAAAGAATAATAAAATTAGATACGAAAAATTCGAAACGTTAAAAAGTTGTAATTTAATAAACATCCACTATTAGTAATTATTATAATATATTATAATCACGCGTCTAATAATAAATTTAATTCACTTGGCGGGTTTCTTGAAATCTACGAAATTCACCAAAAAAACTAAAATTCTTGAATTCTGTAAATTTTTTTTACCCTTTTTGGAAAAAAGTAGCATTTAGTAGCTTTTTGACAAAATAAGTAGCGAAAAGTAGGCTTGACTAAAAAAAGTGTCAAAAAAGTGGAAAAGTGTATCACTTCGAAGCCTGGCAAAATTATTGCAATAAAAATTTAATTTGAAGAAGAAATAAATAAATTATTCAGATCTTTTAGATGATAATGAATGTTATAATTTAATTATTATTTAGAAAATTTAATTACATATTTCAATTATTTAATCACTAGAAAAGTCCTACACGGAGAGACCGAGATTACTAATTTTTGTATAAAATCACACTAGAATTTAGGGGAAAGGTGTACGAGATGATCCCCTGGGGCAAGATGATCCTTTTAAATTTTGGAGAGCCTATTAGCGTAATCTTTTAGGCAAATACGATAATACGTTGTCAATGACATACCTATGAATCAGTCAAACTGTCATGACAACACGCGTCATTAAAAAAATTCTATTGTAAAAAATAAAAATTTCATACTTTTGATCTAAGGAAAGCTTAACTTTGTACTTAGATGACTTTTGTTGTAAAGGCTGAAATTCCATTTTTCTTGTACTAACAGCTTCAGTATATCTTCAATTAAGTGTTCTGATTGTTATTATGGAATAACAGAGCTCGTAGGTTAAGTTACGAACAAATTACAAAATAATGGCATTTGGGGCAAGATGATCCCTCAATGGGTGTACAAGATGATCCCCCCTGATTCCCATGTATTTCGTCTCACCTCAAAGTGAATTTTCTAGTATTAATAAAAAATTTAATTTTTCTCTCTTCTTATATGTTTTTATTATCAAAACTAACTTATTTAAAACAAAAAGTTGAAATCTACATCTATTTTATTAATTTTCTTGTTGTAGACAATGCCTCGTAATTATAAAATGGAAAAATGAATCTTGGTGAGTGTTCAAAGGCATTTATAACCTAAATAAAGCATATTTAATATTAATATATGTTATTTCTTCAATTTAGTCTCCTTTTCCAATAATTGGGGTAAGATAAACCTACGGATCATCTTGCCCATGCCAGGGGGATCATCTTGGACACCGGGGTTTTAGAAAAATTAAATTTACTTGTAAAATATTAATTAGCTGCATACATTTCTAATCAGAAAAGTTAGATGGATTAATTATCTACTAGTTC